ATGATTAAATCATTAATAAAGCCGGTATCTAATTTTAATCACAGCCAATGAATTTCTGTCTGTGAGGTTGTACAATATTATCATTGGATGAAGAAAACATTTCAAGGATGTTGTTTCTAAAAAAATAATTTTGTACAAAGCAAAGGACGTTTACCAGTATGAAACTGAACCAAATACGGTCTTTCATTTTGGTTTTCAAATTCTGATATTCTACAATAGGTCTACCCCATTTGCTTTTCAAATTTAGCATCCCGAGTTTTTTAAAATAAATTTTCCACAATTCTCAGGTAGGGGCAGAGCTGGAAACAAAGTCTATAATATTTAAATTAGTTGAGGCATTTAGTGACACCAAAGGAACAAAACACAACAGACAAACCTTTCCCATGAGAAGTGCAGGATCGTAGCATTCTGAGCAAATGGGAAACATGCTGGGAAAACAACCAGTTTAGGGGCATTGTGTGTGTTTCTATGTATTTACAGACAAACCGACAGAACACTGAACAGGAGCCAGAGCGGAGGAAAGGAAAGGCCAGCAGCAGGGAAGATGGGCAAGCAGGAAGATGGGAGGAGAAGAAGGGCGGGAGGAGGAGGCCACAGATGAGAATTAAGCTGCCATGCTGAGGAATTTTATTTGTGTCTTTTACTTGGTTGGAGGCGGAGCTGTTGGACAGCGGCTTCGGCAGCAGCGATGGCTGCCCCAGCATCTTCAAGGTGAGTTTGAGTGACACTGGTTTTGCTTTGGCTGCGAGAGGGTCCGTGAGAGCGCAGGTGTCCCTCGGAGGAAGATTTGGAGCTCCCCGGGCTGCTGTGGGACTTCTCAATGGTGGGCATCTGCATATCTGGGAGAAAAAAAATACCAGGAATACAGTATATTAACCTTCATCCACCTCAGAGCCCTAGAGTGGTCATGTATGCCATAGAAGGTCTTCCACTCCATCGCAGGTGAGGTCTTCTCACTTTATCTTGCTGTGCTGCTGAGAATAAGAAGCAGGGAATAATGCCCAGCCCTCATCTTCCACAGGCCCCCCCGAAGAAACAAACTCCCCCCCCCACCCCAACGTCCACCTGCTACCTGCACATTCTGGGCCTTTGCTTGGTGGGATGCAAACACCCCGGGGGTTCCTCAGAGGAGGAGATTCGAAGCTACAAAGCAACCCTTTTCCCTCAAAGGTATGAACTACTACTGTAGTTTCCTCTACTTTGCACCTGGCTCAGTTCTCTAACAGTCACTCTTATGGGGTCGCATAATTTTAAACTCCAGTGCAAAACCTTCCTGATAATTTTTAACCTGTTTTCAACTGATTCAGCCACTTTAATCGCTTTGTCCTGTGGCAATTCTACACCTATAAAAAAAGACACTGCTACTATTGCTATTCTGAAGCTGAGAATGGCTGATGCAAAGCAATCCATGAGTCCCTGCCAGGGATTAGAAAGGAGACCTTCTGGAAACCAAACGTAACTCTTCTGGGGCTTAGCTTTACTCCCTGAATACCTCATAGCCAGAACAGGCTGGAAACTTTATCGGCAGAAATGGAGAAGGTGGCCTCCTGTTAATTCCCCATCACTTCCAAAGGGAACGTGAGATGCGTTCCTTTGCTTCCTTTTAAAAGTCTCCTTCCACCCCTCCTACAGCCCCCAGGGCCCCTCTCTCTTTGGGCAAGCCCACTTCAGTGGGCTGCAAGGCAGCTCAGCCACCCATTGGCTGCTGGGCAAAGGAAGGACCAAGTTGCTGGTGGGGGTCTCCAATGGGTTCCACCCTCCGAAGGAGCAATGGGCTCAAAACTTGAAGGCTATTTCTCCATCAGTCTTAAGAGGTGGAATAACTTCCTGGGTAGAGCAGGGGACCCCCTGTACCTCAAATGCTCCATGAAGCCAGAGGTTACCAGGAGAACCTACCCTGCTGCCCACAAAGAGGGGCAGTTGGTGGAAGTCTTACCTTTCGATGGATCAGGAAAAATACCATGACTTCTGCTCTTGATGACTGACGGTTTCGGAGATGGTTGGCTACTCTGCCCCGAGTGGGATCTCCCGTGGTCAATGCTTTCACTCTGCTCCTTCAGAGGGTACCAGTGGGGAGTGTTATCCAGGGGAGAGGCACTGGAGAGTTCAATTAAGACCTAAGGAGTGACAGAAGGAGAGCACACAATTGCGTCTGTAAAAGCAAGACTATTCTAGGTGAATCTCAACACTCGCTCCAAGCTCATTTGATACAACATTCCCCTTCGGATGATTGTTCAGTATTTGTGTGCAAGGTCCTTATTTCAGGAGATTAGAAATTGGATTAGAAGGGAAGGCAT